ATCTAGTCAGGAAAAGAGCCAAAAGCTCATGCATCTGCCCTGACAGCCCTATAGCGACAACAATTTGGGAACTTTTGAAATGGTTTGAATTCTCCTTTTTTCAGTTCAAAGCGGCCGAAGACAGCTGTTTTATTCTTGCGCAAAGACTCACCAAAAACATGAAAATTGCCACCGAACACAGTCCAATTGGGCGGAMTAACCCAGTGTTCCATAAGAATAAAGTCTTATYATAAGACCGCTTGATCCTTTTTTGGGAAAACAAAGACCGTCATATTCTTCACTTTGAATAGAGGGTGTTTTGTAATTTTGAAAAAGCTGAAATGATGTCTTTATCTTGATCACCTCAGTCTTCACCAAAAAATTGGAAGAATTAATAATTAGAATTWGAATTAATATATCAATAAGAGTTTTCAATGAATACGGTCGTAACTTTATGATGTTCTCCCTGTCTCGTTGGTCTAGTGTGTATGTCCGATTACGTAGTGCGAGTAGATTTTTTTAGCTATCTTTTTTTAGCATGGAAATGACCGATTCTTAGCAGTAGCTTTTCATATAATAGTCTTGTATGTTCGATTAGACTTTACGAATGCATTGAAATAACTATATCATTATCAATATTATGCCAAAGTGTTAGGTTGTTATTAACTTTTGTTGTGATAACAGATGTTTAAAGCAAGACGTGATAGCATTGGTAGCTGCCATTCTGATATTCATTGTGATCGTCATATTTGCCCTMGCTTCCACTGTATTCCCTTCAGCCCCTGCACTCCCAARTTTTGGCAAACCGACCAAGGTAGGCAGTTCAAATGATATGAACGTTTTTAAAATGCTTGTTTCTCAAAACTACGAGAAATCAGTGGATCGAGTCCAGTCCGATTAGGTCCTATTTTGCAAAAGTGTTTTTGCAATCAAAATATATCTAAAGTATAAAAATCTAAAATTAGTCCATTTCTCGCAAAGCGTGTGTCAGATTTGCTACACAGGTCCGTCTAAACATTACAAGCTAAACTGTAGCAAGATTTAATGAAATGTAATTCATGACATASAGRTATTTGTTGCTTTGCACAGGGGTTTGAACCAAGGGGTACAAAACTTAGTAACCGCATCAACACTTTAAGAAACCTCCAAGATCTGAACCCTAAAAKTTTGGACTTGACTGAAGTAAGACCCAATTCAACCCAGAAAAAGAAAACAAGACAACGTCGTTCATTGGCGTCCAGTGACTGTCATACCAATTACCGGTATCCAGGGTATGGAGCTAGACTTGCATTTCAAGCCAAATCATCAGGAAACCTTTTCACGGTTGATAATTTGAAATCAATGTGCTACTTGGAGAAGGAAATTATGAAATCCAGTCCTCCCCGTTACAATAGTTATTATTTTAAAGACTGTCCCAACTGCTGCAACAGCCTTTCGTTGAGCGTTTTTGTCGCTCAATTGTCCACWACTGGAAGTTGTGAGGCCATYGACAATAATGGTTTAACAAAAGCAYTGAATGTCCTTCAATCTTGTTCAACTTATTTCTCWCGAGGTACTTTGACTCAAGATTGCTACTGTGACGACCCAGATCCTTATAATAAAACCACTCCTAACTGCCCTACAGTTCCGTGCCACTGTAGTTTGAAAAGGGCTGTCTATTTAATAATGAATTATTTGACTGACAGTGAATTCTTGAAAACACCAAATCAAACGAAATTGAAATATTCTGCCACTTTATCACCTATACAATGGAATAGCTATGATCTTTTTAAGTACATCTATGAAAGCAAACTCATAGATTCGTTACCAGAGCACAAAGGAGTCAAAGTGGTGGGGTTTGACTTTGCCAACTTCAGATTTGATCTTTTCAATATCCTTTTAGTTGAGAATGCCAAATATCCYGGAATTGCCATGGCATTTGTCCTGGTCATCATGTGTTTCTTCCTCAAGTCTTTTATCCTGGCTTTTTCTGCAATGTTAACGGTGATTTTTGCTCTAGTTTTGTCGTATTTTCTATACATGGTCGTTTTTGGCATCAARTTTTTCCCATTCTTAAACGTGGTTACTCTGGTTTTCCTGGTTGGCATTGGTGCCGATGATGCATTTGTCTATTATGACATCTTCCGACAGACCAAAAGTGCCAATCCAAATGACAGYATAGTGAGTTTGACTTTAAAAACTCTTCGATATGCTGCTCTTTCCATGTTTGTTACAAGTTTTACAACTTCAGCAGCTTTTTTTGCCAATTTGACATCCCACATCACCTCTATCAAGGCGTTTGGCATCTATGCCGGTTCATCCATCTTGACCAATTACTTATTGATGATTACCTGGTTTCCAATCATTGTAATGCTCCACGAAAGATGGGTTAGAAAGCGAAAGGTTGACCAGACCTTACAGTTAGCCCACAAACAAGGTGGAATTAAGGTCAGCAGTC